ATTTCAACTAAAAACTCAGGTAATCCAAATTCACCACACTGGCAACACTGTTTCACATAATGTTTCATGTAATGGAAGAGTATAGTTTACCAGCAGTTAGCTTAATAATTTAGCATGAACGGCTAGCACATCAAAATATTCGACAGGTAAAAGATGTATTGAAGCAGAATGAAATAAGCTACATTGATGACTGGAAAGATTGTCGAATGTAATACCACAAGAGATTTCAGGATTACCGGATAATACTTTTACTTGTCACGAAACGCGTAACGCAGCAACACCACGACTCCGAAGGAGGAGTGGTGTTGCTGGTATCGCGTTGAGTGTCAGGTAAAAAAGTATTAGGTAATCCTGAAACATCGAGTGGTATTCAAAAGGTTATACAACGAACTGAACTTTAATACTTTAAAATTTAAAAAAAATTCTATAATAGAATTTGCTATAAATGCCACCAAGCGTGATAATCCCAAAAGGCTTATCACTTATTAAGCCTCTCGTGTCATATGGGAATAATGTACAGTGAATTGTATAATCTGTAAAAGTTGTGTGTATGTACTTAGGTGTTCCATTCTTTTTGGTCACGCTGTATAAATTAATGTATCCAATTACAATTATTCAAGTTATGATATAAGTACAAACCTTTGTGAGAAATGAACCTCAAATATTACTCTACATCTATTAAATTGTAGAAAATAAGCCCCTAACAAAATTTTTGGGTCTCATCATAGACAATAAACTTAAATTTGAGGACCATATAGAATGAATAGAATGAATAGTAGCTTTATTTCAAATTAAGTTTTTACAATACATATTACAGCATTACAAAATAACATGAAATGAAATGGCGTCACAAAACAATATACTTAAATTACATATCCAAGTAATCTTTCACACAATATGGTTCTATGTCTATTAACAATTTCTTGGTTTTATTTTTAAATTCCTTGTAGTTTTCTATTATTTTAAAGTCATTTGGTAATTTATTAAATATTTTAATACAGTTATAAGATGGATTTTTTTCACTGAAAGTTAATCTATGAATAGGATAATAAATATCTGTGGTCCTTGTATTGTATGTGGTGTTAGTGTTATGTATTAAAAATTAATTTTTGTTTTTATGCAAATATAAGAGGCACTCGCGTATGTATAGACCATAAACTGTTAAAATACCCAACTCCCTGAATTTGCCTCTACAGGAGTCTCTGAAACTCATGTTAAGCAATAACCTGATAGTTCGCTTTTGGACTACAAAGACTGATTGTGTTGAAGAACTGACTCCCCAGAAAATGATACTGTACCTTATCCGAGACTCAAAATTTGCATAGTAAAGGATTTTTTTAACTTTGTCTTCTACATATTTGTTTAGTACTCTGAGTGCAAAACAAACACCGTTCAATTTTTTCACTAAACTTTCTATGTGTGTTGACCATTTTAGAAATTCATCAATTATAACACCTAAAAATTTAGTGTGCTCTGATATGTCAATTTCCTGATTATGGATACTTATTGCTGATGGTTTCTCTTTCAGTTTATTAGTGCGAGTGCGAAAAATCACTCACTGCTCTCGTTTATAACTAGTTCATTTTTCTCAAACCAATCCTCTGCTCGAGAATATAGCTCATTGCTTTTTTCCAAGTCATACCGATCCACTCCGGCGACCAGCAGATTGGTGTCATCCGCATAATTTGTTATTGCAGACTCTTCCAAAATCAAATCAAATCAAAATAAGCTTTATTATCTTATAAGACAATAGTCTTGTTGACAAAGCATATACATTATAAACAAAAATCATCAATAATCAAAATTAAAATTTAAAAATAAAAAATCAGGACTAACAAACAAAATGGTGAATAGAGCTGTAAAACTTAAACCTAATGTGTAAATTATAAAATACTGAACAAAACAAAAATACATGACTAGGTTTTAACAATATATAAACAATTAAATAAAATACAAAAAACAAAATATGCAGAATGCTAAATGTCAATTAAAATCATTATAAAATTCGTCCACACTATAATAGGCCTTACCAACCAATCCGCTGCACACTGAACTCAGATCGTTTATCATGACCAGAAATAGTATCGGCCCTAGTATGCTCCCCTGGGGTACCCCCACCTGATTTTGCAGCCATCCTGATCTAGATGAGATATTGTTTTTATAAATTTCCACACATTGCCAGCGATCTGATAAGTATGAGGTCAGCCAACTCAGAGCTCTTCCCTTTATACCATAATTTTTTAGCTTTTCTTTTAAATGGTTTCTGTTTAGGCAGTCAAAAGCCTTTCATAAGTCGATGAATAGCCCAGCAGCTAATTTATTTTCTTCAAGAAATTTGAGTATATTATATGTAAATTGAAAAATTGCTGTATTTGTCGATTTACCCTTTAGATATGCATGTTGTGATGAACTAACCAGATTACATTCATTAAAAAAACTTAACAGTCTAAGGGACATTGCCATTTCAAAGATTTTTGAAAAGCTATTTAGCAAACTTATGGGTCTGTAATTTTCTAATTTTTCTGGATCTCCTGACTTAAAAATCGGTTTTATGAGAGTTACCCTTAGCTGGTTAGGAAAAATGCCAAATTTGAATGAATTTGAATATAAGGGCACTAAGTAAAAGGTTGTCTGCTGGTTGCTTTTCAATCAGAATAGTTTCCAATGAGCTTAGTTGTTCTACCACAAAAATGGTTTATCACTCACTATTTGAATCTCTTGTGAGATATGGTATAGCTTTTTGGGGATTTACTAACAGGCAACAGTTTAACTCTATATTTGTTTTGCAAAAGAGGGCAATTCGTTATTTGTATAAAGTTGCAGGTCGTGAACATTGTCAACCGCTATTTATTGGGATTTTTTTTTAACTGTACCATGTTTGTTCGTTTTAGAAACTGTGTGTCTTGTGCACAAGAAATATTCAGGTTTGGTAACTCGGGATATTGGGTACAACACTAGAGTAAGTTCGAACACTAATATAGGCTTACCTATACCAAAGTCTGCTTTAGCAAAACACTCAATATTCTATGAGAGCAAACAAATTTTCAACCATCTAAGTAATGAACTTAAAACGATCAGAAACTACAAACTATTCCGTAGGAGTGTTAAGGATATTTTGTTGCAAAAGGCTTACTACAGCTTGGAGGACTACTATAGTGACACTGTATCACTGTACAACCTTTTTTGTTTTTAAGTACTCTTGTCTTTTACCAATCAACGCTTTTATTCACATTTTATTATTTTAGTATAGTTTTAAGTATATGTAATATTGCTTGGATCGCCGTACTATTTGTAAATTTTTTTTTAACTTGTTTGTATTTGCATTGTACAATTGGTGATTTATTTTATGTTTTTCTGTTTTACTTTTAAGTTAATGCTTTGTCAATAGAATGTTTTTTCTTGGATAATAAAGTATGATTGACTATGACTATGACTATGACTAAAAAGTAGGTACCCTGAAACAGAAATTCTCATCATGGGGCCTATGGTTAGTTATTGAGAATACAATGTATAGATATAGAATAAAAATCAAACAAGAAGAAGCCATTGACGTCATCACTGACAAAGAAGGCAGATTTCCTTTTCTCTGTAATATTTCTTGGACAATAAAGTACTTTTGATCATCATCATCCTTTTCTCTGGGTCCCTCCTATTTAAAGTGAGACAAACCATAACGCGTGTGGCTTCTTCTCGTTTGATTTTTACTCTACAAGTCAGTATTTGTACAGGTTATTTTGTTTAGTGAATATCAACCATTAGTGACATAAAAATTCCATGTTTATTGTTTTTTTACATCAATTTATCAGACATAGGCTCATACAGCATATTTTTTTTATTACATATTCTAAAAGAGCGTATTGAGTTTAGCAGTTGTGCAAAATTTCATAATTTTCCGAGCCCTTGTTCATATTTAAATAAATTATCAAAACACTCTAAATTCAAAACACGTGTTGACGTCACTGCATCTCTCATGTTGGTCGTGGTCGGAAATTGTGTCCCAGTTGAAATCGCGTTATGTAAAGGCGTGTGTGACGGCCTTAAGCCTGTCTCGACTCGAGAGATGACGTCATACCATCTCTCAGCGATAAATTTCTGAGGCATAATGTTTTAATATTCAAAGACCCATAACTTTTTTAATATTTATCCAATTGAGCTGAAATTTTTTCTGTGTGCTATATGTGAGTAATACTCCGTAAAAATATAAAAAAACGTGGTTAATGAGACTTCACTGAACGAGCCTATTTGCAAGTACGGTGATCCAGTATAAAGTGAACACCCCTTACCTTTTCGCTAAAAAAATTTTTTTCAAAAAAATCAAGATAGCCATTTGGTGTATTTTGTTTCTAGGAATTTGAAAACGTTTTCCAAAATTTGATTAAATTTTTCATTAAAGCGCTGTGACCGAAAAAGTATTTTTTTTTAATGGAATAACCTAATTTTAAACCAATTTTTTAAACGCCCCTATTTTTCTCATTTCAAATATATAGTTTGTTTATTTTTATTTCAGTAATTTGCGATATATTCTCACTCTAAAATTCACATAAAAATAGCGGAAAAGGTATGATAAAACCTAATGACCAGTAATTTTATTGGAGGTAAAATTATTTAGATTTACCTTGATACCTTTTCGGCTATTTTTATTTAAATCTTAAGTGAGAATATATTGCAAATTATTAAAAAAAAGATAAACAAACTAAATATATTTGGAATGAGAAAAATAAGGGCGTTTAGAAAATGGATTTAAATATAGATTATTCCATTTAAAAAAATTACTTTTGTCGTCACAGCGCTTTAATGGAAAATCTAATTTAATTTCGAAAAACGTTCTCAAATTCCTAGAAACAAAATACACCAAATGGCTATCTTGACTTTTTCAAAAAAAATTTTTTTTGCGAAAAGGTAGGGGGTGTTCACTTTATACTGGATCACCCTGTACATATTTTGCTCAGCCCTGTGAAAGGTGAAAGTTTCGAATGTCGAGGAGACTATAATTTATTTACCTCACTGTCTGAATCTTCCTGCTTACTGTTTTTGTACTTTTCAAGTTTCCTCTCATCTTCTGAATCAGAAGAATCATAATCTTCCTCCAGATCATCAAACCTAGAAAAAAAAGTTAAAACTAATGTATACGATGAATAATAAAAAATACCTTGCGTGTGACGGCATAATAAAGGAGTAAAAACAAATTGCAATACGAAAAAAAAAAAAAACCTGGCGCTTCTACAAAAATGATGAGAAAATAAATACAAAAAAGTCAGGTTAGGAGCAGGACTAGAAGGACCTCTTCTGTCTCTATCCACTAACCATCCATCACGAGTTTGGGAAATTGCAGAACACGTGACCCTAGCAGAGCAGAACAATTCGGTCACCTATTTGTTGGTTTGTGTTGTTCGGAGCAGCACTTCCTGCTCTGGGAAAGTTATTTGTGTTTTGGCAATGAACTGTCGAGCGTTTGTTTGTGAAGTGCAGTTTGCACCAAACTGTTTATTTCATGTTCAACCTGCACTTGCTTTCGAGGAGGAGTAAAGCCTAGTACTCATAACCACGGAATTCGCTCTTTTTTGACATTGCTTCGACAATTTTGAAGCAATGTAAAAAAGAGCGAATTTCGTTTTATGAGTACTAGGCTTAAAATAGATAACCACATTCGACGGTTCCCTTCATAGGTCTGTTTCTGCAGTAATCACAAACCAGTCAAAGCGAATTTTATTGGTTGAAAACAGTCAGAAAACTAGTTTCAATGGTTTCAACCAATGAAATTCACTCTGACTGGTTCGTGATTTCTGCAGAAACAGACCTCATATTCCCTTGTATAAAAAAGGCTGGCAGCCTGCAACGTCACAGTCCTCTGAACAATCCTCATCGCTTTATAAAATCTGTTTTTTTTTTAAGATAAAAGTCGAAATGACATTATGTTGGAAATTTCCCTTGTGCAAATTACACTGGAAATTTTGCATGCAGATTGTCAAAATTAAAAAGTGGAAATTTTTGGAAATATCCCGGAGAAAATTTCCAGAAATGTCATTTTTGACATTTATGCCCGCTTTTCCATTTAAAACGTATTGATGTCAGAAATCTTTCAAAGTGTAGGTATATTTTTTGACTAACGCAATTTAAATGGAAAAAATCAATAACAATCACCATCAATAAAAAAATTCAACAAGACGTAGTAAATAGACTTCAAACTCGGGAAATTTCCTATCAAAATATAACTCGTGCATAAAATATTTCCTAAGGGAAATTTTAAAAAATTTCGTCGTTAGCCAATTTTTTTGAACAAAACCATTCGTGCATAGAGCCGAAGAAAAAATCCCTCACCCTTCGGGTTCGGGATTTTTTCAGGCGCTATGCACTCATGATTTTGTTAAAAAATTGGCTTCAGACAAAATTTTCAAAAATTTCCGGAAATATTTCATGCACTAGTTATATTACTACTGGCAATAGTAAAATTAGCCGCTTTCCAGCTGACGCTTTGAGCACGCAATCGAGCTTTTGCGCGCGCAAATGCTTCAAGCGCGTGTTTGTGTTCCAGCCGTACTGCGCTTCGAGAGCAGCTAAGTTTTGCGTTTCAAACACCGAACACTGTGCTGCACCGTGCTTGAAGCACACAGCTGGAAAGCGGCTATTGTCAATGGGTACATTCAGGGGGTCCCAGCGGCTTAACTCAGCCTCTCAGCAGGAACTTTATTCTCGAAACCAATGAACAGCGTTTCCATTGGAACGAAAATTCTGTCTTTGTCGTCCGGCATAACACTGACAATGACAGAGTAATCGTTCTTATGAAAACACTGTTCCTTGGTTTCGAGAATAAAGTTCCTGCTGAGAGGCTGAGCTAAGCCGCTGGGACCGCCTGAATGTACCCAATGTTTTAAAAAAAATTATGTAGAAAAGGCTTGTGCTACCAACATAGTTAAAGTCTGTTTTTTTTTAAAGATAATTCTCCAAGTCAAAAATTTAATGACTATGTTGGCAACACAAGCCTTTTCTGCATAAAAAATTTGAAAGCATTGACAATTTTACATTGTATTGCCAACAAAATGTCATTTTGACTTTTATCTTTAAAAAAAAAAAGAGGTCGGGGATTCTAAAATCACGATTCGACATACGACTCGACAGCGAGACGATGTTTCCGACGATTCTAGGTTAGAAATCTCATTGGAATTATACTCCTGCGTTTTTATTCTCATCAAATTTTACCGATGGATCCACCATTCTATGTCGGTCATTGTCATTTTTCATAACATTTACTAAATAAAGATAGCTAACTCATCGGTGAATTCACCGATGAGAATAAAAACGAGGGGTACCTTTCGACACGACAAGCCGGTATCGTTGTCGAGTCGTGTGTCGAATCGTGATTTTAGAATCTCGGCCCAGACTTTAAAACAGGGCTGCCATTCTGTAACGAATAGAGATATTCTGCCACAAATCAAATACAGAAATCCACAAAAAAGTGATGGGTAATAAAAAAAAACGTTCGTTTGTGTTAAAATATTTATTGTTCTAAAGCAGTAATCAGTTGAACTGGTGACGCCACAAACCTGAAATATCTTTATTGGCTCCGACCAGCATATCATTCGACACAAACGATCAAAGCTTTTCAATTTGTATGTTAAATTTTATTTGAAACAAGAAACCGAAAGCTTTGATTGTTTCGATCCGTTCCAGAACCGTCCTTTTTTCAAACCCGAACAGAACATATTGCTCTATCCTGCTCCAGCTCGAAAGCGAGTGTAGAGTGAAAGTCGAACATGAACTAAAATCTGATTTTTTTTTAAAGATAAAAGTCAAACTGACATTATGTTGGCAATACAATGTAAAATTGTCAATGCTTCAAATTTTTTATGTAGAAAAGGCTTGTGTTGCCAACATAGTTACTAAATTTTTGACTTGGGGAATTATCTTTAAAAAAAAAACAGACTTTGAACAGTTTCGATCAATTTGCACCTCACCTTACAAACGAACGCTCGAATGCAGAAAGTGCTGCTCTGACTTCTAACAGTCTGAGCTTCTACCAACACAAATTCATACCTTTGATTCACTGTTTACTGCTCCCAGCAGAGCGCTTCACCGTTAAGTTCATTCTACAAGAGATTCGCAATAGGGTACTTGCATGGAAAATTAAATTGATTATTGTTTATTGCAAACTGTAGGAAATCGAAAAAAAATCGTTACTTTTTTTTAATTCCGCCCAAAAATGATTATTCCGGAAGTTATACAAATATTAAGTTTTTTATATATAGATATACTGAGCATGTGCGACGTCACAACTCACAACGTATTATACCTAAGTAATGACGTCGGTAGGACATTTCAAAGCGTTGCATCTCCGTCAATTTTTGACTAACAAGAAAAAGAAAAAACACGTGTTGACTTATTTTTCATGGACTATCGAAATCAGCAATAAAAAAATTTGATGCAAGGGGCCTATTCGCAATAAGGTGCATCCCAGGACCGGTGCAACAAACAGCGCAAAACAATTTGCAACAAGCATTCCGCACAGCGCCAATGACGTCCTCCTGAAAACAACGAAATGAACAAAATCAAAAACCAACTGACAGGTGGATGGGGTGGAGTTCCAGATGTAACCCGCGACTACAAATCCAAAGGAGTCGAATGGGTGGCAGTGGGCGATAAAAACTACGGTGAAGGTTCTTCTAGAGAGCACGCCGCTAGGGAACCGCGTCATTTGGGCGGTCGGGCCATCATTGTGAAATCCTTTGCTCGTATCCACGAGACAAACCTTAAAAAGCAAGGTTTATTGCCTTTGACGTTTGCCAATGCGAGTGATTACGAATTACAATAAAATTCAGCCCACTCCCACTGATAAAATTAGTTTGAAAGGGTGGAAGAATTTGACTCCTGGAAACAAGGGTGGTTTAAAGGGGGGTAGAGGGGGGGGGGGATAGAATGTTATCAGATTTTCATAGGACCATGAAGTAAATGTAAGTATACACTAGTAACCTGCAAAAAATTTAGCTTAAGGATCTCAAATGAATGAATTGTGTTGGTTTTTGTTGATACATGCATTGACACATGCAAACTGCGATTTTTTGAAAAAGTTTCAAATATTTCAAAAAGTACTGCAATTTTCCTGCATTCGAATACATGAAATCTGAATGTTTTTTATGAAGATAAATTATGCGAAAACTTGTAACGTCACACGCTAAATTCCGAAATGCCAGCCTCCCGTTCATTCAGTCCTCGTGAACCATGCCCTATACTTTGAGTGGTTGCCATTCGCTCTAATGAAATCGTGGACATTTGTTTTGAAAAATTCTTACACGTGTTAAAACTGTACTTCCGAAGCCGGTATGACGTCACAGCCTAGGCGTTCGTAACTTGTGATGGGTTCAAATTTCAATCCGACGATTGGCTTGATTTCAATACAGTAAATAAATTCATGATCAATATTATGCAATAAATTATCAGTCGTGAGCACAGAAAGTGGGACACCCGTTTTTTCCTATTGTAAAACGGGTTCACCTATACCTAAGGCAATGACAGGAATTGTCATATTTGACAAAAAATCCATTGTAGAGAAAAGACTGATTTACGCAAAATAGATTGATTTATGCAAATTTACAAGACCTGTCAGTCGAGTGTCCCACTTTTTGGGTTCGTGCAAACTCCGATTTTTTGAAAAAGTTTCAAATATTTCAAAGAGGGTCGAGTTTTTATAGAAATTTATAGATTTGCTCACAGATGTGCACATAATTGACCCATTAGTATAGGTAATTCCTAAAAAAAAGTATATAGGATTGTTAGAACAATCCATTAATGTTCTAAAACGTAAGGTGTTCCATTTAAAATAACAACGGTCTGTCACATACCTCATTTACGGAACACCCTGTGTATATACAAAAATATTTTAAACTACTAATGGATCTTAGAGTATCAAACAACTTTGTTATTTAATTTTTTTTTCTTGCACTACCCTGAAAGGAGATATCGTCTACTAAGTGGACACCCTGTATAACTATTCTGCCGGCATCGAGATACATTTTTGCTTGAGGTATGTTTCAGACGATTTTCAGGTGCAAATTTGGGCGTGGCACCCTTAAACAAATTTCGCCTCCGGCGGGAAGCCATTCGTCACTAAATGATTTTCCCGTCATCCATTACCCCCCCCCCCCCCCCCCCAGAAAATCATCTATGGACCGTCACTGCCTGGCCTGGAAAGCCTGTAGAGTGCGAAATCAAGCATAAACTGTTGCAACAATTTTTTGTTTATGTACCACCACTGTCCACCACCGCATGGATTATAGAAAACATTTTGCGCCACGCAAAATTGAGCGCGCACGAGCAAGTACCGTCCAAGCCTGGAATTACAAAAGCTCTGCAACACCAAGTTACAAATGCAGGACCTGCAAGTCTGACTTTTCGTATTACAGAAGCAGAATGCATTTGCAGATCGCCTGCAAATTTGCGCATGGTGAAACAGTCCCGCAATCACTTTGACAACTTTGACATTGAAAACTGGTAAATCAGTAGCGCCCAAACACTTTTTTTCGATAAATATGACGAAATTACAGATTTTTTCTGTAATTTGCTCGTTTCTGCAAATAGAGCACATATGCAAGTCAGCCATATTTGCAGATCTGCAAATTTGCAGATGCAAATATACTGTAATTTGGCCCCAAACTGACATGTTCTGCAACGTTCGTGAATGTTTTGCGCTGCTTAATCGTTGCACAGGCAGAGCTGGGCAGTAGCTAGCTACCAAGTAGTTAAGCTACTAGCTTAGCTACTTTTTTGGTAGCTAATAACTTATTCAAGCTACTTTGAAAAAAAAGTAGCTTGTAGCTGTAGCTTTTGGTAATGTGTTTCAAGTATTCATAAGCTACTGTGAAAAGTAGCTAGCTACTAAAACAAGCTACTTAAGCTACTTTTGGTAGATAGTTAATAGTTATTTAGGTATTAATGGCGGAAAGTGTCATTTACCGTCCGAGGGTGTGGTTAACGATACTTAACGCCCAAAATACTTATTACGTTTTTTGCGTAGCGGACTCTTCTAGTTCAAAAATGAAATAACTATACCTATAATATAATGGCATTCATTCGACAAAAGGCACGTTTGCACCAACCTATCGCCCGCGTTTGAATTTACCGCTCGATAAAAATAACTTTATACTTTAATTGCTCAAGCTACAATTATCATTTTCCAGAAAATTCTTATCCTGCCTTGCATAGACTAGTTCTAGTTATCTCTATAGATACCTATGTTTTATGTGTCCTATTATTCTCGCATTCGCAGATCACTGTGATCAAAGTGAACCTAATAAATCAATGTCCAGTGGTTTTTGACAAAAATATGAATACTTCTTAGAGAAAGTTAATATGTTATTTTCGTATGATGATATTATGAAATTAAATTAGGTAAGGTATGTACATTGATGGTGGCGATTGTGCACGCTTTTTTGTTTTTATCAATTTAACTTTCAAAAAAGTAGCTTAAATAGTAGCTTTCAAAAATTCAAAATGTAGTTAAGCTACTAATAGCTTAGCCACTTTTTCAAAGAGGTAGTTGAGCTACTGATGGCCATTTCCACTAACTATTTTAGGCAAGCCTTAACGATAAGTATTCCCTTAACTGACAGTTTTACATAGAGAAATGTCAGCTTAGGGAATACTTATCGTTAAGGCTTCCCTAAAATAGTTGGTGGAAACGGCCATGAGTAACTTAGCTACTCACAATATAAAGTAGCTTGTAGCTTGTAGCTAGCTACTTTTTCCAAGTAGCTTGCCCAGCTCTGTGCACAGGTCCGGTCTGAATGCACCTTTAGGCTAATAGGAGGCGTTTTCATTCAGTATAAGTTGTATTCCTTTCACACCTAGGAGGAGCTCTGGAACAGCTCCGGGGCTTCACGCGCTTATTCCTTTCGAAAAGGCTTGTGTTGCCTGTTACTAAATTTTTGATCTTTGAAAAAAAAAACAGACATTATTCCTTAAACTGACATTTCTCCATGTAAAAATGTCATTTTAGGGAATACTTATCGGTAAGGCTCCCCTAAAATAGTTGGTAGAAAGATTCTTGGGTAGAAACGGCCATAAGTTTTAAAAGTGCAAAGATGAGAGAGTATTTGTATAACGAGTTGCATAAATTCCCGATGCGATTAATCTAAAGCTGGCTTCCCAAGGCCCGTGATATCGCAAGAAGGGCCGCGCCAGCGCTCCGTGGAAAGGAGGCTTCTCAAGCTAGCCCGTGATGATCCGTGATCGCGCGACCTTTCCGTCGAAAGTCGGCATCTTCAAAGGCGCTCTACGACGCGGCGTGTGCGCAAGGATAATACACACTACTAACGATTGCTTATCGGCCTCGTTTTTGGTAATCGCGGCCATATTGGAGTGTCACCATTTCCGACGTCATAACTAAGTCGTCAGCTGCTTGCACTAGCGATCGTAGTTTAGAATTTAAACCAAGTATGTATAAAGCAAAAGCCCGCGGAATCATAACCTCTAGTGCAAACAGAATACGTCAAAGCGAGATAGGACGTGCTGCCGACGACACAACTGGTGATTTGGCGTGGTGGAGGGCTTAAGATTTCTTCCACAAACGCCTTTCGAGGATAGGCTATCCTGTAGTGGTAGTGTGTATTATCCTTGGCGTGTCCGGGCACGCGTAGCGCGTAGGTCTGTGACGGCGCGGCGCGGTCCGGCTTCCGATATCACGGGCCGTGGGAAGCCAGCTTAAGGATGTAATGATGTATTTTCTTTTAGGTTAGGTTACAATAATTATTTACAATCGATTTTTTAAAAAATTGTTATGTTGAGGAAGATTCAAGTTTAGCAAGCATCAACATGACTATAAACAAAGAAGCGTTTGTAGATCTTGAAGAAAAATATCAAAAAGTAATAAAACTCCTGTTAGAAGACAGTAAATCCGATCCAGAAAATGAACCTTTTCTGTCCAAATACTCGGCCAGGCAAATTCTCATTGGTATGAAGGCAAATCTTGAAAACCTAATGAGAATTCAATCGTCTGGAGGCCCAGAAAGTATCAAACTTAATGGTAATATCAAATTAACCAATAACATTTTCTTGATTAGGTAAACCTCTTATTTATTCATAGCAATGTACGGTACAGTACATCTTTATCTTGGTATGGTAGCAATTGACACTGAAGAAATAACTGTGGGCGAAAAGCATTTGGATAAATGCCAGGAAATTATTAAAGATATACAATCCCTCCCTGATGTCGTCCTTATAGCCTTAAACATGTATAATCAATTTGGGATATTATGGTCACAAAGAGAACCAGAAAAATCTAAAATTTTCCTTGAAAAAGCTGAGCAACTTTACCTCGACTTTAAATCAACTGGCACGGCACCCATTGACATAGCAGATTTATTCAAACCAAATATAGAAAGTTACAATAGTGAAATGGCTTTCAAGAACATGGAAAAAATTTACACCCTTACACTATACTATTTGGCACAGATTTTTGGTCAATTAAACCAAGACTTTAAAAGTGCCGTTTATTGCCACATCACTTTGCAAAGGCAACTGGAAATGGCAGATTATGACCCAATTGATTGGGCACTTAATTCAGCAACACTTTCTCAATTTTTCTTGGAAAAATGTGGATTTAAACAAGCAAGGCATCACTTGGCTGCCAGCTCGTGTATTTTAGACAAATATAAATCTGAAGAACTGGATACTGTTACAGATATAACTGAAGAACATGAGGCAAAACTTGAAGTATTCAATCACAGGAGTGCTGATGTTGCTCGTTGTTGGATAAAATATGGTATAGCTCTGCTGGGAAAATCCAAAGATAGACTTTTGGGTCATACTGAAAATATTGAAGAGAAGTGCAGTATGGTATCAGATTTGGCTTTAATGCAGTTACCTGAAGACGCAAAAGTTACTTTAGAAGACCTTCAAAATTTATCTTTCAATGGTATTGATGTAAGTTTGTATGAGGAAGAAATAACTGATTCATTTGTGCTACACTTACCAGATGCTAAACAAGTATTTCTCAAAATGCAAGACTGGGTTAAAAAAGCTCAGGATTATTACAGTTTCAACAGTTTAGCATCAGATTATATCGAAATCGTTCAAGATCAGAGTCAACTTTACTTAAAATTATTATTTTTTGAAGACGATCAAGACAACCAAGCTAAATTGCATAAAAGACGAATCGATTTAATGGAACATGTTATAAATAATATCAATTCTCAATATTACATGAGTTTTTGTAGGCAACTCTGGTTTGAGTTAGGTAATACTTATTCAGATATTATTGATATTAAGTCAGAAAAACTCAGAGAAGCTGCAGACAGACCTAAACCTCAAGCATTGAAGAAACTTAACTCTTTAGTAGAAAAATGTATTAGGCATTTCAAGAGTTTTGTATCTTCTTTTAAAGTAAACGTCGCTGAAAGAGAAAAAGTCCAAGACGATGCAGAAAAACCATTTCTTCAAGCATATTTTCACTTAGCAGCTCATTATGGTAGATTCGTTACATTAGATAAAGCTGTCCAGTTAAAAAACGTTGAGCAACAATACGAGCATTATAAATTTATTGTAGACTACTGTGAAAAACATGCAAACGCTCAACAGCTAATTCCAATGGAATTGGACATTTGTAAAGAAATGGTTATGCTTTTACCAGTTAAAATGCTTAGATTAAAATAACGTACTTTAGAGTAAATTTTGTGATACCTATACATTTTAAGCAGGATTCTCTATTTATTGTTTAGTATAAGAATATGGAGAGGATTTAAAAAAAATTCTTCAAATAAAATTTATTCGCTCTAAAATAATTATTTTATTTATAGCTTACAACTTTTAGGCACAGTTTATTCATCTTCAGATAAACTTGCCGGTAACTATCTGCAAGATAAATTTACTGTTCTATACGTCTAATGGTCGGCGGATAACTGGCCAACCAATAGGATGGCATATTGCATATCTGAAAGTTTATCAGTAGGTGAATAAACCAGCCCTTAGACAAGTTAATTTTATGGTGCTGATTGAAGACTCGAGACACATAAACTTAGAATAATTTTTCCTACTTGTTCTTTTCATTTCACTACTTTCTAATTATGATAAATTATTATGCCTGCTACTTTTGCTATTCGTTAAAAAAATATGATACCAGATAATTGTTAATAAATTGATGTCTTAGTTAAATTAAGTGTTATGGCAACTGTATCTATAGGAATTTATTCTAACATTCCACAGACACTTATGCTTCTGTCTCATCTCTCATCCAATAGGTATACCATACCTAATAAACATAGCATGAATCAAACTCATCAAATTAAATTATCTAACTATAACATGACATGCATATCTAACAACTAGACACTGATGGCAGGTGCTTGATTCTGGGTTGAGTGTTATTCAAGTAATCTTCTTTTTTTGACATTATCAAATAAGGAAACTTATCCGCTGATGCTCCCGTGAATGTGTATGATATACAGGTTTTCGCGGACACGCCTCCGGTGATAGGTACTGACCTGATGATATTGATATTGTTACTTACAGACCAGTGTTGTAGATGACAGAGGACTAGAGGTGGTTAAAAGACTGCGTATTCTCATTATAAATGCCAATCTATCAAACAGAGCTCAGTAAGTACTCAGAAAATCTACCTAAAATAGTATTCAATAGATTCAATATCTTGAATATACCTACCTACCTGTAATTATTTACCTCATAATGCCGTGAAAAATTATGGATAAGGCGTTTTTATTTTTGAACATAAATTGCAATTATATTACAGTAGTGTCGCGATAATCCGATCCCGCGATAATCCGTATGCTTCTGTAATCCGCATCGCATTTTCATTCCCTTGATGTACTCTGTAATCCGGATTTTACTTGATTTAGTAATCCGAATTCATTAAAATGACTGTTGAAAATAAAAACACAGGTTTTCACTTGTCGTTTTGTAACTGCCTGTGTTCAAGTGGATAGATAGTTTTTAAATGTCTACACGCATTATTCAATACTCAGCGTCCTTCCTACTGTGTGGGCTTTTTGAAAGAAAATGGCACCTATTAAACGCAAACACAAAACTTTAAGTCTCAACGAAAAGTCAGCGATTATAGACAAGCTGAAACGCGGAGTTAGTAACAAATATTTAGCTGTTGAGCATGGAGTAGGGGCTTCAACCGTCAGCGACATTGAGAAAAAGCGGACTGTAAAATGCCTTGGTAATCCGAATAATTTGATAATCCGGATTGGTCTGGTTTTAATTGATCCGGATTATCGCGACACTACTGTGCCAATATAACAAAATTTATATCGTAGGATACGTAAAAACATGTTCGCTTTTCAATTATTATAAGATAAAAAATCGGATATTCCTTTCAAAAAAAAACAAAGATATACGTCGTAACTCTTTTGTTTCTGGTTTAATTGTTTTCCAAGAACATTTTCATTTACGAAAAAAGTTAACAGCTAACTGCTATTTTCGATTTCTCCAAAAATACAGGGAAAGTCAAAATTGGGGCACTGTTCAGTCCTCGTTGGCGGACCCTATACCTATTATCGAAAATTATCAATTTTGCTGTTAACATCAATAATATTTTGCAATACAACACTAGGTACTATAAAAATGAGATTTTATGTCTTTCAATCTACAACAAAATATGTCTAATATTAATAGTCCTACAGAGTTTGTCGCTGCAAGCATGGTGTATGCTTTCAAAGACATTTCTTTTTGAGTGTTAACTGACTTCTTGGGGTTGGATTATTTTTTTTTCGAACAGTTCACGATAATAGGGACTTGCGGTTAAAGCTTACATTTCATGCATCCGTTTTTCCGTCAGTCCGTTGATCCGAGAGTATTCCTATTGGTCCAATATTTTGGCGCCAGAATAGGTATTAGACCAATAGGAATACTTCCGGATCAACGGAAAAACGGATGCATGAAAATTAAGCTTTACACTGCAGTTTTCCCTTTGTTACGAGTTGTTGGTTTCTGTTTATTGGTCTCCTTCACCTGGGGCACTCTGACATTATGTCACGTGGACTGCAAATTTGGTTTTGAGACAAAAGACCACAGATTAACCCGTCCTAAAAATAGGAAACTCAGGCCCTTTTCAATATCCTTGTCTTAATCATGCAGCGAGTTGTATGACTGCCACATCACGGTGCCGCTAGTGTGCACGTTGTGTTCAGTATCGCGGCAGTACGTGTGGTTCCCGCCTTTTTTCAAATAATCTGTCTAATAAATCCAATGACATTTCACTAATGGACCGGCCCTGGCCATATTCTCGAATAGTGTTTGTTTGCAGCCAACATTGTGACACTGGGTAGGCTTCGATTTTACGTAGCTTTGAACCAGCCAGTCAGAGTGAATTTCATTGGTTGAAATGAAACTAGTTTTCTGACTGTTTTCAACCAATGAAATTCGCTCTGACTGGTTTTTGATTTCTGCAGAAACAGACCTTATACTATTAACACAGTTTATACCGTACCGATACAGTTGTACAACTCTCCATATTTTTTGAGGCCAAATTCTCCAACCAATAGGAGCATTTTGACCCATATCTTGCGCATGCGCTCAATGAGTGAACAAATCTCTCAAATTGAAAAAAGCAGTTCGGCATATACATGTCTCTTTCCAATCCTGCACGCAAAAAAGAGATAGAGATAGCTGGGTGAGAACCCGCGAGAAATAACTGTCAAACGAGACACAATTGTTAAGAGTGTTTTGCTTGCCGTGTTATTCGCGATTTTTGTGTACTTGACTGTTTTATCGTTTATATATTGTGTATTATCATGGTTGCTTCCTGTTTTGTCTGTAAAAACAACACTAGAACTAGCCCAGGCTTAGGATATTTTAGTTTCCCGAACGTTGAACGACTGAGTATTTATATTTACATATTTCATATTAGGTTTACTCTATACATTCACATCACTTGATCTGATGAAATAATTGTCCACATTCCAAAAATATTTAATACTGTGATGCAAATCTGGATGGGATTGAAATCCTGGCTGTGTCCCAATGGTCTAAGAGCCAGTGAACTTTTTTGCGTAAAAACTTAGTGATGGCTACTATTTGTTTCGAAATTATAATATGATCCCGTTATATTCTCAATGTTAATCCACAAAAAATCCTAGTCCGACTCTGTCCACGGCCCAGGATTCGTTGTTTCCGATCAATAATGCGTAAGCGCGAAATATAGGGACATAGAATTTGGCTTCAAAAAAATCAATGGTTTGTCAGCGGAGTTGAACAACTGTTTCGGTACGGTATAAACTGTGCTATTAATAGTAGGTTATATTTGAAGTTGAAGTTTCATACTGAAATTGGATGTTTTTTCAGAAGATTGTACTGACATACTGAATTTGCTCATTTTGTACTGAATTCATTACAATTAGTAGCAAATTGCCCCAAGTACTCTATGTAATTGGTTAGATGGTAAATGGCGAGCGGTATATTGATGGAGTTTATTTCGTTGGAGCTGCTACCTATAAAATTGTGGAAGGGTCTATTCGCAAAAGAGAGAAACAAACTATTGAGCTCTACTAAATTATATTTTATTATACATAAAACCAAAAATTTAAATCAGCAAAATATCTTTCAATTCTGACAGCCTCATCTATTTTTCTAAATTCAATTACTTCACATTCGTTCAGATGTCATTATTACGGACCGGGAAATATCCATACAAACAAAGTAACGCCCTTTCTACTACTATTCCTAATAACTTATAAGTTTATTCAGATTTAGATTCAGATTTCAGATTTATTCAGATTTAAATATTTCATAATACATTTGTTTTATAATTATTTACTATTCAATATAAGAATAAAATAAAACATGCTAAATACTAATTAGTTACATTTCAATTCAACGTACTATATAGTACATGTAGTAATAACATTGTATGTAATAAGTATAATCCCTACAATGAAATAATGCACCTAGGTAACTAAATACCTGTATGTGCAAAGTAGCATATGTTTTAAAAAGTAACAATAAAATAAAATCTATTCCTTAAGGAAAAAGTATCCAAGGGGCACTCAAAAATACGCGGAAAAAATATATCAATATATACTTGTATATTATATATATATATAGGTGTTAAAATGTTAATTTGTGTTTTTTATTTAGATATAAGACCAATAACAATGTTCCATTTTCAAGTTTAATGAATATATCTCAGTTTAGTATCTTTTTTATTCACATTCAAACACCATCCCATTTTACCCGACCAGGTGGGCAAAACGGGATACTTTACATTTTTTTCTTCAATATGACTTTTCTATGTTATCATCAAGATATTCAGCAATAACTATACCTAAACATAGAAATGGGTCAATGAGGAAGTTACAGTTAAAAAATGGTAGACATCAATAGCATAATAGAAGAATTTCAGATCAAATATCGTTAGCTATCCCGTTTTGGCCAACTCTCCCCTACATATATATGCACACAATAAATTATCCAATATCTAAGTCACCGATAACACAATCAAAGAACCCACTAGTTGAAAATGTTCTTAAAAGTATCTAAATTTACATAGATGAAATCTCTGCAAGCTACACAAAATCGCTTCAGATCTAATTGCTTAATGTGAGGTGGTAACAGATTATACAGTTTGGGTGCAAGATATAATACTGATCTCAATTTCTTAGTTGTGGAGACAATTGGTGTTTCTAGATATTTGTTCACATTAATTCTAGTTTGATATTGATGGCTAATAAAATTTTTCAATTTATCAGATTTGTGGACATATATGCAAGTAGACAGGCAATACAGGGAACGCACATCAAATACCTCTTTTGAGTAGAGCAGGGCA